ATTCCAGGGACAAAACTTACAAGAGCAGACAGACACTACATTCCCCATGTCTATTTTCAGTCTAGTTGGAGTTTGTGTGTGTGTATGTGTGTCTCTTTTATAAAAATTTATAAGATATATTTACAAATTAGGAAAAATTATCCTTTATGTCATAAAATATAAATTAAGCCCCTATTTTATTAGCAGTAAAAGGAACGTGTTGGTCTCTACAAACCGTGGGTTTAAGACCATGCTCTGAGTCCACAGTGGCATTGAGGGGGCCACTGTGGGAGTTTGGGCGTCTTCAGGCCTAGACAAATTCTAAAGAGAGCTTCACTTTCATGAAATTTGCACCCTGAGCTTCCACGCAGGTTTAGTTTGATAAAGTTAGTTTAAATGCTTTATTTACACCTTTTAAAAGGTTTAAAAATTACTGGTCTATATCAATGCTTCTAAAAAATGATAAAGGACAATGTGTGTATTCCCAATCTGATAATTTTGTAAAATACGAAAATCATGCACTTGGATGCCATGGCAATGTCAAATTGCTATGACAGTCTTTATGCATCTACTCTCACTTTTTGTGCTCGCCTCACTACCGACTGGAAACAAACATTCTTCAAACACATGAGTCTGCAAACTACCGGTCTTTGTGAACTCTAAGGTCTTTTCCAATCGTAATACGATATTCAGTCAAAATTCAATTAATAAGTATAGATAACTGATTAGATATGAAAGATGAACAAAACATGATTCCAAATTTGTGAAAGTTAAAAAAAGGGATGGTAGTGCTAGCAAAGAATTTTTATCATAAACATAGGAATTTAATTTCTATAATGAACACAGTTTATAACAATGGATTTCAAAGGGGGCCAGTTACTTCTCTTCCCCGGAATGTTCGGAAATTTGTGGGGGAGTTTCTAGTTCACTTGAGGACACTATTAGTATATAGGCAGGGCCCAGGGCTACTAAACATCCTGAAATGAGTGGGATAGCCTTACTCAGTGAAGGATTGTCCCTCGCAATTTTGAAAGTCCTTCCAGATATTTACATGGATGAAAAAACTATTCATAATTATCTGGGTCTATCTATATGTAACTTTATTTTGCACAAAGTGCTTTTCCACAGTAACAGTAACAATAGCAATAACATAATATAGAAATAAATACAGGAAAACCAAGGAAAGAATCGTATTTTATTTTGCTCAGAACTCTACAAAGAGCTAGTCACTATTTTAAAAGACTGTATCCTTGACAATAACACCCAGTCAAGGTGTTTAGATCATCAAGACAACATATCCTGACACTCCACATCTGTTGCTCTTATAGTTATGGTGATCCTATGGGCCTCTATTTCATTACGTCATCGAGCGTAGTCACATCTAAGCATTACATACTGAAATACTAGTATTTTTTAATTAATTTTATTCTCCTTTATGTTACAGTAGGGCAGTATACTGATTTTTTTAATTATGTATATAGGTAGATTTTATCATTTATGAATTTTATTTCATGATAGTCAGAAGAGCATTACAAAATATATGTTATAAAAAGGGGTACTGAGGCCAGGCACAGTAGCTCATGCCTATAATCACACCATTTTGGGAGGCTGAGATGAGAGGATCACTTCAGCCCAGAAGTTCGAGGCTACAGTGAGCTATGATCGAGCCACAGCACTGTAGCCTGGACAACAAGACCAAGACTCTGCCAAAAATGAAAAAAAGTCCAGGCACAGCAGCTCACACCTATAATCCTAGCACTCTGGGAGGCTAAAACAGGAGGATCACTTGAAAGCCAGGAGTTTGAGACCAGCCTGAACAACATAGCGAGACCCTCATTTCTGTAAAAAGTAGAAAAATTAGCCAGGCATAGTGGCGTGCACCTGTAGTCTCAGCTACTCAGGGGGCTGAGGCAGAAGGATCGCTTGGGCCTAGGAGTTTGAGGCTGCAGTGAGCTACAATTGCACCACTGCACTCCAGCCTCGGTGACAGAGAAAGATC